GAGAGTCCTCATCATTGGATAAAGAATGAGGTAAACATTTTTAAGACGGTATGGCACAAACACATCATTAGGTTGTACTAAGTGATGGAGAAGGAAGAGTATGTATGTCTCATCATGGAACTGGCCATTAGGGGATACCTCTTGGGGTGGATCTGAAAATCATGCCATCAATATGAGGATTAAACCAGGAGGCTCATCATACAAATTGTAAGTGTTGTTCACCACCTATACCAAAACAGAATCACACACGACCTTAAGTCCAACAACATCCTATTGGACACCAAAGGCAATATCAAGGTCAGTGGTTTGAGTCTGAGCATCTGGCTCACCCCGGGGCAATTTCCTAACAAATGTATGTGGTGCTGTGCTATTCTATCCCCCTGAAATATTCCTCGAAGGAAGAAATGATGCCAGGTGCAAGGGAGACTGAGATCTGAGGATCAGGGTTCAAAGCCAGCCCAGGTTGGCTCTACCATCTGAGCAGATTCATACTGATACCAAAGACTAATTTGAGGAGGAGATGGCAGAGGACAGAGTTGGCTAGCAAAATAGCTACCACTCTTCTCAGAACAAGCTGCTGAATTTGGGCCTAGGAACAGAGCAGTTCCAGCCAAGAGTGGAGAGCCCTAAGAGATATCAAAGATAACCTCACTTGAAAGCCAGGAGGCTGTTATTGGGATGGGAGAGATTTGTAGGGGGTCTACTAAAAAACGATTTGTAAGTGGGACCCAAGAATGGAGATCAAAATATAGTTTGCCCAGCAACGCCCTTAGTCTATCCCAGAAGACAGGTGGACCAACTGTCTTAGGATGGATTCCAGACAAGGGGCACCTTGTACTGCACTGATAAACTGACATTGTAGTTATTAAAGCATATAATTTTTGTGCATTATATCAGTTCCTTGCACATGCAAAACGATTTGAATTATATTTAAACTACACCTTAGTCTTTAAAAATGTAGTTTGATTTATTTTATTCTATGTTATTCAAGATGAGTCTCATTATGTAGCCAAGACTGTTCTTAACTTCATAATTCTACTGCCTAGGTACAGATGTGTACCTCCATGTCATCCATCATACTATAATATGCACCTTTTCTTAAGTGTTAATATTTTATTTATCCCTTGGCAGTACTGGGGTTTTGATTCAGAGGCTGCTTGGCAAGCAAGAGCTCTACTCCTGCCCCAGTCCTTGCTCTTCATTTTACTTTAGATGAGCTCTTATTGTGTTATTTTGCTTAGGTCTTTATCAGACTGTGATTGTAATGTATTTTTCTGCTGGGAAGCTGACATCTAACTCAGATAGTTCAAACCCTTTTTGTCTTTTTATAGTTTTAGTAAATATATTTTTTCTTATAATAAAGATGGTACACAGAGTCATTACAATTATATGTCATTTTAAAATTCAAAACCTTATTTTAAAAGAGTTAACATGCATATAATCACTAAAATTTATCTCTAGAAAAAATGACTACCAGAATAAATGTTTTTGGAGGCTGGGTCAGTGGCATTTGGTATTGTTCTCACTTCAGCTCTAGACAATGCTACATAGTTCAAGACCTGCATGGCCTAAATACAACCAAGTAAAAAGTAAAAAAAAAATGATCCTTTAGGGCACAACTGTGGAAGATTTGAAATACTTTTGTACATTTTACTGACCATTTGTACATTTCTGTGGTGATGAAAGTGATATAGCAATTATGTTAGAATTTTACACATTCTTCTAACATAGCATAGCATTACCACATGACCCAGCAATTCCGTTGCTCATTGTATACCCAAAAGAACTGCAAACAAAAACCAATAGCTCACATGCCAACGATAACATCAGCAATGTTTACAATAGTCAGGAGTTGTAAACACCTGGAGTGTCTATCAGATGAATAGGTTTATAAAACGTGAGGTATGCATAAATGATGACTCATCCACAAAAGGCTGCAATTAATATATATCTGTCATCGATGGACACAAAAATAATCTATTATGTGAAATATATTGACTAAACCATTTCATAAGAGAAAAATGGAAGATTAAAAGTTTCTGGGGCAGGTCATTGGGGGTGATTAATACTCAATGATTGTGTGGATTCCATCATTATTGAAAAGAAAGTTCACGAACAGAGGTAATGGTTACAAAGTAGTGTGGATATAATTAATATCACTGAATTGTATTCCTTCCTAGCAATCATAAGGCCCTGTTTTCAACCCCCTGCACATCCAAAAAAAGAAATGCTAAATATTCCTTCTGTTACCTGCCTTGAGTGGTCGGTGCTCTTCTACTGTTATGATTGTATTCCTCAGAGGATCTCTGGTGGATCTCTGATGTTTATTCATTCTTTTACATATGACCCATCATTTGAATATTGAGGTTGAGTTTTAAAGGATTTGTGAATTAAAATGAGGGCAGTGGCTGTAGTTTAACTCGAGGCTAAAGAAGGAAGATCCCTATTCAGACAAGGCTGCATAGAAAGGTCATTTCCAAATCACCATAGTAGTGCTGAAACTGGAGTGACAATTGCTTGTAAGCATTTACAAGTGAGAGAAAAGTAAGAGATAAGTTTCTGATAACATTAGATTTTGGTCATGTCAGTTTAGATTTAATATTTGCATGAATTTTAAAAATTTTTCCTTTCCCCTTACTTTCAGTATATTATTTTGAAATTTTGTAGTGTGCTCTTATTTGCTGCATTTAAAAGAAACATAGTTTTCCTTTGCATCATATTAACATTTTTTGTATTACATTGTGTTATTTATTTTTGAAAGTTTTTATGGTTTTTTTTTTCTCAATCTAGAGACTGGCCACTGCCTCAGAGATTTTGCTCAGTTCTGCCAACTGAGTCACAGCGCAACTTCCAGCTTCTTTCTTTTTGAAAAGTCTCAGGCAAAGCCCAGCACAACTAAGGAAGTTGAAATCTGATGCTCTTGGTTTGAAGCCAGTCTGAGCAGCAAAGTCTGAGGTTCTTTTATTTTCCATTGGTTGTGGGGCCTGAACTCTAGGCCTAGGCATTGTCCCTCAGCATTCCAGCTTAAGGTTAGCGCTCTATCAATTGAGCTGCAACACCATTTCCGGCTTTTTTTGTATATGTGGTTCTGAGGAAACAAATCAACGTCTCATGCATGCAAGGCAAGCACTCAACCACTGAGCCAACTTCCCAGCCGGAGTCTGAGATTCTTATCTCCAATTAATCACCAAAATGCTGGAGTGGTAGGACTCTAGCCTTGAGTAAAACAGGGCAAGTTCAATTCCTCGTACTGGTAATTACATGCACAAGTCTCATGGACATTTGGTAGGTCTAGCTTTGAACTGCAGCCCATAGATTTCAGCCTCCTGGGTAGCTAGGATTTACAGGCATAAGCAACCAGCCTCTGTCTTATTTTAATATTTTTAACCAGCTCTTCCCTTCAACCTCAATGCTTTTTTATTGCTGTCAGTAGACCTAATCTTTGGGCCTCATTGCTGTTTCTTACCTATTTTTACGGAGGGTAGGGTTTGAACTCTTGGCCTGAGTGCTGTCTTTGAGCTCTTCAGCTTAAGGTGAATGCTCGAGTTCTTCACCCACAGTGTCACTTAAGGTTTTCTGGTGGTTAATTGGACATAAGAGTCTCATGAACTTTCCTTCCCAGGAAGGCTTTGAACCGTGATCTTCATACCTCAGCCTCCTGAGTAGCTAGGATTACAAGACAGAACCACAAGTGTCCTTGTGTTTCTTAGCTTTTTGGCTCAAGGATGATATTTTACAACTTCCACAGCTCAGCTTTTAGCTTTTTTTCTGGCTTATGGACATAAGATTCTAATGTACTTTTCTGTGTAGTCTGGCTACAAACTGATCCTCAGATTTCAGATTCCTGAGGTACTCCAATTATACACATGAACCATAAAACCATTGCTCATTTTAAAATGTTAATATGTTCTTTTTTCCACTTAAATTTTTTTTGCATTTTTTAAAAATTTTTATTGTATATGTGCTAGTCATGGGGCTACAAATCAGAGATTGGATACAATGCCAGAGCTTTTCCTTCAAGACTAGTGGCTTACCAAATGAGCCAAAGGAAAGCTTGTAGATATACTTGTTTTGTCTTGGTGCTTGAACTAAGGCCCTAGGTGCTGTCCTAAAAAGTGATTACCCAGTTTGCCATTTAAGTCACAGCTCAACTCCATTTTTTTTTAATTCTTGGTAGTTAATAGGAGATGAGCCTTATGCGAAGCCCCGAATGAATCAGTTGCCTGAAATCTGAGGATCATGGTTCGAAGTCACCCAGGGCAGGAAAGTCCATGAGACTTTTAGCTCCAATTAATCAATGAAAAGTTGGGAGTGGTGGAGCTCTATCTTTGAACAAAACATTCTCAAGCCATAGGATAGCACACAGATGCACACAGAGAGAAAGCCTTATGGACTTTCTTGTATGGGCTAACTTTGACGCATGCTCCTCAGATTTCATCCTCTATTCATCCTCTCTCCGTTTAAATTTTTATTGATCCTGCGGCTTCACCTCTGACTCTGGGACCTATATCTTAGCTTTCACAATCAATGCTGGTGTTTTTAACACCTCTGCCACAGCTCAAGGTTTTGTGCTGTGTAACTGGAGATAAGAGTCTCAAGCAGGTTCCTCCCCTGGCTGACTTGACACTGCAATCCTCAGATGTCAGCCTCTTGTGTAGTAAGGATTACACACATGACCAGCAACATTTGGGTCATTTTAAAACTTTAATATGTGCTTGCTTCCACCTCCTTTTATTTTTATTATTTTTTTCATTTTTGGTTGGCCTGGGAGTAGAAATTGAATTTCAGATGCTCTCTCATTGCATACATGGGACTAACCATAACGTTTGGCTTTTGTGGGAAAGTTAATTGGAGAGAAGAGCTATGCCAGATTCAGGAGGCTGAAAATTGAAGAAAGTTCTTAATGCTCTCTTCTCTAATTAACCACTAAAGGCTAACTTGGACTTCCTATCACTGTACAATCACTCACGACTGACCTGGTCATCTACAGACACTTTCTTGTAAATGTCATCCTTTGAAAACATGTACAATTCTATTTGTTCCTCATCTTAAGATCTAAACCTACATAGTGCTGATCTCAATTAGTCATGGAATACCAAATACGATAGGAAGACAAACCTGAGAGAGAGACATGCAATACAAAAGCAGAGCTTGCTCAGTTCCTCAGCACTCAAAGAGGGGAGGATGTGGAAGGGGGGGGGAGAACTTCATGAGCCTTTCTACTCTTTATTTTAGCAGTGGGTTTGTGGGAAATGTGTGGTTTTATTTCAACATGAAAATATCTCAATGCATGGCGATCTTGCCTGATGGGTTTATATTTTCTGCATAAATGTTATGGAAACTCATACATAACTCTCTTTTCATCCTGCAGTAAAGGTCAAAGCAGCAGCAAACGGAGATGAAAACAGATGATCGCCAGAGTCACAACTTAAGCAGGTTTCAGAGGATGGGGATTTTCCCTTGACTCCTTTTCCACTTTCTTCTGATAGCTCGTAACTGTAGGGGGGGTGTTGACAGTTGTTTGTAGGAATTTTTGTTTTTCTCCAGATTCAAGTCTTATCTCTGCTTAGTTTGCTTCTCTATGCAGTATTTGACTTGCTCAGCTCCTGCCTGATTGCATCAACGAACTCCTCTTTCAGCTTGGTTAGTTCTTTTCTCATCTCATCTAAAATATCCTGCTTCAGTCTGTCACAGTCAAGGCTTTCTGTCTGGACCCGGTCAGCACTGGGCTGGGACAAGGGTGTGGACTTGTAATGGCTCATAGGACCTGTTGTCAAAAACAATCTGGCTTTTCCTTGGAGAATCTCATCTGGAGATGACGGGTGACTTGCTGCCATTCATTGTATTTGTTCTTTCCCAAGGTTTCCTGGTTGGTTCAGGTGTACTTGTTGATGAGACCTTAGAAGTTACAGGTTCTGATTCTTCATTTTTTGCTTCTATTGTTGATCCCTTTTCGGCCATTCTCCTCCTTCTGGCCATCAGGAGACTCATTTCCTCCATTAAGCTGCTACCTGCCAAGGGAACGGGTCCATTTCCACCACCCATGTCTGTTTTAGCTGACACGGAGTTCACATCAGTGAACACCGGGCAAAGAGGCATCTTCCACCCGTGACAATTTCCTAAGCTTGGCTCCAGCAATCACAGCTGCAAGTCCAGTTAAAGGACGATTGTCTTCTGAAAAGGATCCTTAAAAAAAAATCCGGATGCAGGAAGGGAGGGGCAGGAGGTGGTACAGGAGAGGGGCTTGATTAGGAAGAGGGCGTGGGGGAGGAGGGCCAGAGGATAGCAGTGGGGGTGAAGGAGGAGGTTCTGGGGGAGGAGAGAATACAGAGGCCTGGGCTGGACCTGGTGGGAGTGTTGGAGGAGATGGAGGTGCAGGTGGTCCCAAGATAACACCCTGTGGGGCTGGAGCCTCCGACAGCTGAGAGGCTTCCTGAAAGCCTGGCTCAGATGCAGAGGGGTCTCCCAGCTCAGAGTTTACAGGGGTCTCCACAAAGGCAGAGGTGGCATTAGTCGGCACTCTGCTCTCTTGATCCCATTCCACTTGCTCCAGCTGCTCCATCTGCTCCCACTCCAGCTGCTCCACCTCTCTCTTTCCAACCTCTCTCCAGCCTCTCTCTCTCTACCTTTCTCTCTCTGGTCTTTCCCTCTCCATTCTTTCTCTCTCCAGCCTGTCCCTCTCCAGCTCCTTCTGACGTTTCTGTTCTTGCAGTTGTCTTCTTTGGATGTCCAACTCTTCTTTGGATGGGCCATTTTGAACTTGATCAGGCAGTTGTGAATTTTATCTAGGCAACTTTGGTCCTGCCTCCTGTGAATTCAGCACTTCTAAGGCATGCATCATTGCACTTGCGAAGACATTAGCATCCTCTTTGCTGCCATAGTTAAGACTGTACACCTGCCTGGCATCTCGCCACTGGGGAAGGTCTGTGTTGCTTGATTATACTTTAATCCTTTGGGGATGGCACAGCTGATCACCAGCTGATGATCCTGGATCTTCCTGCCCAGCACTCTGAATGTGTTGTTGCCTGTATGGTGATAGATATGAACTCTGCTGAACCCAGTTGAACCACAGCTGGCACCCACTTTTATTGGCATCATCACAAACCAATGCAGCAGCTCTTCCCTGACAGATACTCTGTTCACTCATTGAGCCGGCGGGCCTGATGGATGCGGCACTGGAGTGCGCTCCTCTGGGACGGCAGGGTTGGCTCATTCAGTGCTTCTCTGCTACACTGGCGGCCAGCTACTCCATCACCTGCTGTGGCGCCGGCCAGGCCTGGGTTGCAGGGTAGGTGGGCCGCTTTGGCTGCCTGCTGCTGCCGCTGCTCCTGCACAGGCCCCTGAGGACCGCGAGGACCAAGAGGACTGCAGCCGTCCCAGCCATGGGAGGAGAGTGGGGCGTGCCACGAGGCGCTGGTGCGGGATGTGTGGAACACTCAGGCTCTGGCCTCGCCCTCCCCTACCACTGTCGCCCTCCTCTTTTCTTCCCCTGTATAAGTAAACTTTTATATCTTACAAAAATAACTTTTAGCTGGGGACTGGTGGCTCATGCCTGTAATCCTACTCAAGAGGCTGACATCGAGGATCACAGTTTGAAGCCAACATAGGTAGAAAAGTGGGTGAAATTCTTATCTCCACTACACTACCAAATATACTAGAAGTGTGGCTATGACTCAAGTAGTGAAGTGCTAGGCTTCATCAAATGATCTCAGAGCCCAGGCCACGAGTTCAAGCCCCTGGACTGGTACAAAAAGAAAAGTTTCATTAGTTTACATTATACTAGGATTATGGTGTGAGACACCAGTGCTGAGATTAAGAAACAACTTTTGTAGTAGCTGCCACTTTTGATCTTTTCCCTAGGAGTTTTTATGATTGTTTTTATCCATGCCTTATATTTACATTCCACTAATAGAATTATTTTTTTGGTTGGAGGCACATTTCAATAATTCAATAACATATCAAAAACACATTTTTCGTTATTTTAAATAGAGAAGGGAAACATATGATGAATCTGAGCCCAGCAAAGAATGAATGATGGTTTGATTGCAGATATGTGGAATGTAGTCCAGGATGTGGGAACCTACCAATTTGGGTGCTTCAGTTATCAGGTCTTCCTGAAGCTTCACAATAAATTTCTATGATGTCATAGCTACCTTTGCTATCACAACCGATAGGTGTCAGGCACTGATCTCACCCTTAGGTGGACTTAGATACACAAGGAGAAAAACATAATATTTAGAAGAAATGATGATTTACCATAAGACCACAGCTTGATGAGCTTTCCTGATTGAACTTTGAGATTTCATGAGCAGAACAGGCTCATCTCCACACAAGACTACTAAGCACTGAGGACCAGGCACTATTGTAGGCAACTAGAGAGAAAGATGTGAATACAGATGTGAATGGCCTGTCTCCATGCACATGTCATGCTGTTGGAGAAAACCATAAATCAAAAAGTTAATGTCAATAAATCAGAAGGATGGTCATGTGGGGAGACAGCTTCACTTTGAGGATTGGAGGAAAAGACATGATATAATAGTAGGAGGCATCATCTATGCAATTATTGCTTTTCCAGACTGGCTCCAATCTCAATCACAGATCGCATCCTCCTGAGTTGCACACTATAGGTGTCAGGCACCTGCAGTGGGCTCTTTGATATAAATATCTATAACAAATGTGTTTTAAGTTTCTTGGAAGTTTTTTGTGAGAAAGGTTAAAAATTAAACATATTATGCACCCTAAACTTTCTTTTCACTATCTTCTAATTATTTCAATATGAGCCGTCTTACTCACTTTTTGGAAAAGTCAAGACATTTTTTTTCATTGTTCAAATCCTGGGGAGGGAATAAAAATGACAGCTTCTTTGCCAAAGTACTAGAATGTACTAGTCATTTTAACTGACCAGTTTTGCCAAATAATATGTCTTGCCCTTCATGGATTTTTCATCTTCAATAATGTTAGATGAATAAAACTATAAATAGGAGAAAAGCAACCACATAGTAGCAAATTTATCACAATGACATATATAAGCTGTCCACTTTTTACCAAATGAAAACAGTTGCCACAAGCATTAAAAATTTGAATAAAAACTTGGAGATTATTCCTCTTCATACAGTTGGTTCTTTTCTTTTTTTCTTCTTGTTTTGTTTGTTTTGGTTGGTTGTTGTCCTTGACCTTTTGGTCTGGGGGCAGTCCCTCAGTTATTCAGCTCAAGGAGAGCGCTCTACCACTTGAACCACAGCACCACTTCTGGTTTTCTGGTGGTTTTTTGGAAGTAAGTCTCACAGAGTTTCTTGAAGACTGGCTTTGAACTGAAATCCTCAGATCTCAGCTTCCTCAGTAGTAGGATTGCAGATGTTAGCCACCAGCAACTAGTCAAAATAGTATTTTTTTAATTTGGCTAGCTTGAATGATTGCCAAGGAAATAAATAGAACGTAAAATTGTTAATTTGTGCTAAAATTTGCAATAGTTTTACCTTGAAGAGTAGTGAAATATTTAGAATTACATATTTTGAGAAAATTAGCTGATTAGCTTTTATTGATTTAAAATACTAATATACATCTCTTTTTTTATTTAAAATACTAAAATATATATTTGTTGACACTGAATTCTGAGTTCAAAACTTGTACTTGTTGGCAGTCACTCTGAGAGTTAATTCTGTCAGCTCATTTTTAAATCAATCATAGATTAAATAACTTGAAGCTTAGAAGGTGTCTTTTGGTAAGAATAAGTGAAATAAGCCTAAACTCCTGCCTTTCGAGTAACAGAAGAAATCCTAACGTCTAGAATGTATAGACTCAAAATATGAAACACACAAAGAACATTAAGGGAAAAGAACAAATAATCTTATCAATAAATAGGTAAGTGAATTGACTAGATAGGTCCCAAATTAAATATAGATGTCTACACAATACACGAAAAATATTCAATGTCTTTAGCAATCAAGGAAATGCAAATCAAATATATGTTGAAGTTCCATCTCTGCATAATGAGAATGCCTATTATCAAAGAAAACACAAATACTGGCAAAGAGGTGGGGAAAGACACTCTACACAGTGTTGCCAATTAAGTGAATCAATGTAACCACAACAGAAATCAGTGTGGAAATTCCACCCAGGAAATCCTACATATACACCTGAAGAAATTTAAGTCAGCGTTATAGTAGAGCTGTTTGCACACACATTTTTTACAGCAGGATTCAAAATAGTCATGTTTTAGAATAAGCCACCACAGGCAGGAAAGTATGTACAACTGTTATCTCCAATTAACAATAAAAACAAATCTGGGAATAGAGCTTTAGATCAAGTGGCAGAATACCAGCCTTGATGGATAAAAAGCCAAGCAAGAGATGAAAACCCTAGGGTCAAGCTTCAGGACTGCCAAATGTGCATGTACGCACGCATTGCCCCCCTCCCCCGCACAATGCTGCCTATATTTTTTAGTCAAGCTTCTAATTCCCCTTTGATTCATGCACCTATGACAGAGCTAAATATAATGGGAAAGTGATATTTAAAATGGTAAACTTATACTGAATACCCAGGTATATTTCTCATTTTTTTTGTAGTCACTGTGCTTGATCTCACAACCTGAGTGCTTTCCTTGAGCTTTTTCACGGAAGGTTGGCTCTCTACAACTTGGAGCTACAGTTCAACTTCCGGTTTTGTGATGGTTCATTGTAGATAAAGAGTCTTAAGGACTCAGTCCTCCACACACATTCTAACGGCAATTCTCAGATTTCAGCTTCCTGAATTGATAGAATTACAGGCTTGATCCACCAACACTGGGCTAGAACCTGAGTATTTTCACCATTGCTCATTGGAAGAATTCAATTCTTTTTCCTCCGGAATGCTTGCCATGCACATTTCTCTCTGGATAGCAATTGAGCAAAGAGAGAGGTTCCAGTAGCTCACACCTATACATAATACCTACAGAAAAGTCTGATATCTGAGGATAGTCGTTCAAAGCCAGCCCAGACAGCAAAATCTGGTAGACTTTTCATCCCAATTAACCACAAAAAAGCTGTATGCTGAGCTGTGCCTCAATCAGTAGAGCTCTATGTTGATCAAATACCTCAGGGATAGACCTCAGTCACTGTGTTCAAACCCCAAGATCAGTGAACACGGGTACACACATGATGTGCATACACACACACACACACACACACACACACACACACAATTTTATAACAGAGTTCTCAAACCTAACATGGTGCCATTCTAATCCCTTGATGTCATGCTTTGCCTGGGCTGCAATCCATGCGGGTAAACAGGATCTACAGGGATTAAGAAGCTCAGAGCCAATCTGGACCCACCCAGACCAGAAGCAGGAGTGAAGTAACACAAGCATGAGGCCCCAACTCACTCACACTGGAAGGAGGAGTGAGGTGACACAGGCATGCGGCCCC